ACATCGCGCGCACACTGGTCTCGCATAAGGCCAATGTGAACGCCACCGATGCTAACGGACAGACACTACTGCACCGGGCTATCCAAAGGGATGACCACTTCTCGGCTCACTTTCTCATTAAGAATAATGCTTCGGTCGATACGACTGATGCCGTCGGCGACGTTCCCCTCCATCTGTGCGCCGATAAGACCAACAGTGAAGGTATGGCCAGAATTGCCCGCAATTTGTTGGACTCCGAGGCCGACCCTAACTTCCAGGACATCGACGGAAACTCCGGTAATGCCTGTCATTTCGTTCACATAAAAATGATTTACTCATAACTCGTACTCTCATTGCCAGCCCTTCATCGCTCCGTTATGTCACTCAATAAACCAGTGTTTGATATACTGTTAGAACAGCCAAAGATATCAATAGATTTGAGAAACAAAAAACATTTGACAAGTTTTGCGATATCGTTGACAAAACTCAATGATAACGACTCTTTCGCCGCAGAGTTAGTCAAAAGGGGCTGTTCTATAGACTCGATTAGCCCCGAGACTAGCGACTCGTTATTGCATACCTGTGCCCGCAATGGCGATGAGACGGCCGGTCTGTTTCTTACAGCTAACGGCGCTAAAATCAATTTGACGAACAGTAGGGGCGAAACGCCACTACATATCGGTATTGAATTGGATTTTATTTAACTTTTTGTGATTTATGACTGATTTGTTTGGTTCATTAATAGCCGCCTCAAAGGGACTCAAAAGTTTAGTCGCAGCTCTTCTGGAAAAAGGTTTGCCAATCAAGTGATCACTTTTAGGAAAATTTACTTATATTCTGATACCTCTGTCCCGAACTACAGGTGCGAATAGCAATCTACAGACTACTCCGCTCTCATTCGCCGAATCCATGTCATCACCCGAAGAGCAACAGGTGTTCAATCAGACGGCACTCCATTTGGCGATTATAGGCAAACACGAGTCGGTCATAGAAGTGATACTCAGCCAAAACAACAAGTCTTCCTCCATGAAGGGCGACGTGGGATCAGCTCTACTGATGCCTAATCTCAACCTCANGTTTTTTGTTTCTCAAATCTATGGATATCTTTGGCTGTTCTAACAGTATATCAAACACTGGTTTATTGAGTGACATAACGGAGCGATGAAGGGCTGGCAATGAAAGTACGAGTTATGAGTAAATCATTTTTTGTGAATGAAATGACAGGCATTACCGGAGTTTCCGTCGATGTCCTGGAAGTTAGGGTCGGCCTCAGAGTCCAACAAATTGCGGGAAATTCTGGCCATACCTTCACTGTTGGTCTTATCGGCGCACAGATGGAGGGGAACGTCGCCGACGGCATCAGTCGTATCGACCGAAGCATTATTCTTAATGAGAAAGTGAGCCGAGAAGTGGTCATCCCTTTGGATAGCCCGGTGCAGTAGTGTCTGTCCGTTAGCATCGGTGGCGTTCACATTGGCCTTATGCGAGACCAGTGTGCGCGCGATGTCCTCCTGTTTGGTCTTAAGGGCCAAATGGAGGGGCAGTTCCCCAGACCTGTCCGTCTCATTCAACTTCAACGCCAACTGAGCGTCAAATTCAATCAAATAGAGGAACAGCACGTCCTCTCTCTTAATCCTAATCGCTGTATGCAATGGGTATTCGGTCTTCGTTTTGAACATCTGGTAGAGCAGTGGCGCCGACATCGACACAAAGTCATCGCTCGTGAAGTCATCCCAATGGGTGGACACGAGTTCCGAACAGTGGTTCTTGAGATGTTCGGCGCCGATCTCGTCGGCCGTCTGATAGAATTGGACACAATTGGAGACATTGACGAAAGACATGAGAGTCTGTTCGCAGAGCTCCACCAATGGGTTCAAGTCGTACCTCTTGGCGCTCCGCATCACATCCAGTATGAAGTCTTCGTTGCGATGACTGAAGTCAATGGCGTCCGTATAGACCCAACGGACCAAATGAAAGCCCACTTCGGAGTTGACGTGAGATAAGTCGAGTTCGTTGGTGTGATCCAATTGATCCCATGTGTCACTGCGCGACGACAACACAAACTTATGGCCTTTGATTGAACTGCCATTCAGTTTAATGGTTAGATCCGAGTAGAGCTCTTTGTCGAAAAGATTGGCCACATTTCGGACCAGTCGTGACACGAATGAGTTGTCGTCCACCACTCCGGAGGAAGCATTCAGAAGATTGTATCGCTTCTCCAAATCGCAGTACTTTTGCTGTAATTTCACGTATTCTTCGCGCAAAAGACTTAAGTGTTTCCGCGATTTCTCCAACTCTTCCGCCTCTTTGGTCGACACCGAACTCATTGTCACTGCAAACAGATCCTGATCTTCAACGGATAAACTAATCGCCGATTACTTTACGCCACTCTTAGCGTTGTTTAGCAACGGATCAATCAATAGGTGGTTGACTCGGATGACAATAAATGGTTAATAAAAGGAAGACAATGAGTGGTAGCGATGGTGGTAACCAACGTGTGGACACAATTGATCCCAATTGTCACCGCAAAGAGTGAATCAACACATAAATGAATAAAACTTTGGATTTAAACAAATAGTTTGAATGTTTGTCACAAATGTGTCACTCATTGACGCAATTAATGTGCAATTGGTGTCTTCGTTGACCACAAAATGAATCACATGTTGGGTTCAATGGTCGTCATAATAGTTCACCACCAGACATATCATTGAAATGGATGTCTGAATGACTAATAAATCCAATTAATTATGAATTTATTTCTGAGACCACAATAGGAGTGACTGTAAGAGTGATACACAAGTGAGACAAACAAGTAGTGAAACCCTTTGACTGAGTTTCGAAGCACACTGTACTTGAACTACACTCTAATCGCTATACTTTTCGCACAAACAATGCTATAAATATGTATTCAATTTGATGGCAAATTCCTTATCAATTCCTATCGGAAGTAATAAATAAGAAAATATTTCACTTTTGATTGAAATATTGACTTTTAATACACTTTAGATTAAATCTATGATAAGATTATTTTGACTAAAAAATTACGATAAGTCTGAACATTAGATGTCATGACAATACATACTTTAACCCACAAATACTCCCATTCCCTAACTATTTATACTGTATTCAATAATTTAGTTTTCATTCAAATTATTACCCTGATTACCGGTATATTTAATATGAAATTATAAAAATGATTTTCTGTATTTTTCAGTATTAGTGTAGTGTTCATTGAGTGCAATAGTGAACACCTATATGGTGTGAATAACACCTACTGTCAGTCATATCAGTAATGGATCTAAACTTTGGTATAAATTCTGTAAACTTTATGAGAAAATACTATACAATTCTGTGACACATGAATTCATATCATTATTGCAAAAAATACAATGAAATGTGATTTATATTTATCAATGCATTCATTCAAATGTAAAAATCGTTGCTGATCTCAATTACAGAAGAGTATAAAAGGCTATATTATTAGATATAAACTTTTTTGTACACTATATACAAGTGGGCGTTGGGTATACTGTACAAGTATACAATTTACTTGAAATGTGATATTTAATTGAATAATTCATGTGACTTACAAATAGTGCACTTATATAAAAGTGCACTAAACTGTCAATAGAAATATATAAAATATTAATTGAATGTGACTTTTATATCAAATAAAATCACGAGTAAGAGAGAGAGAGAGAGAGAGCTGGAGAATAAGTTAGTGGCCAGACCTTCATGTTTTTATGATAGTTATTATTAGTATACTATTTAATACTTCTCTATTATTCGCATAATTGTCCCTCAAGTTTGTCTATTAAAATTAATCAATTTATCTAATTTATATGAATATACTATTTAATAACAATATTTATATCATGAATAAAACTTCTCGATATTCACGTGATGTAGCGAATGACAGGGATTTGGATTAGATATGGATGTGTTAATGATATAATTTATAATAAACTATGAATTTTTGAAAGTATTTTATAAATAGTCATTTTATGATCAAAACATAAGAGCCACAAAATTATGTAACTTATTTGTAGGCATTAAGTGTTTTCTACCAAAAAAATCCAATAATTAATTGTATCGATCGGTGTTTAAGTCCTCTATTTTTATCCAATCAAACAAACTTTGTATCCAATGGTTAATAATGTATGTCTTATACACTGTATAACATACAGAGACAGTCAGTACTTCCTTATAATATCATGAAAAGTAAATGTAGAAAACGGTACTTAACCTGGATATTAAAAAATTAAAACAATTTGTTAAGTGACAAATAACATGCACTCAATATGACAAAAACTGTTGTTCAAGCATCTGATATAACATAATACAGTATTAAAATTAAATATAGATATATCCCTTGCCTACTGACCATCCCTGGCCCCTAATGGCTAACAATCGTATTGGTTTGCTATTGAAATAAAATCCATTCAATTAAAAGCAGTGAATCCTAATAAATATGAACAGCTATTAATACTTTAGCAAATCAGTCACAAACAAAAGGCATTTACGTAATCAAAATATCTGCCTGTCCTCTAATATCCTTTAAAGTGCTATTTGTGTGATTAATGTACAGGTAGTGGTTATAATTAGACCATGTATTTAATTATAAATCTATAATCGCAATATTAATAGATATGTGTATTGAATTCTCTAATGAGCTCGGTGATCATGATGGATAATTTTTTGAGTATTTATATAGATTACGGAACATTTTTAATAATTAAATATGGGTAGATGTTTAAAGAAAAATGTATTATTCCTAAATAAATATAAGATTTACTGTTTCATAGTAAATAAAGATATTACAAAAGCCCACATATGTCTTAAAAGTCTTACAAATTAAGTAAATTTTCCATTAAAAATAGTCAGATTACAGTGCCGGGATTATTTTTTAATTAAATGTATAAAAGATTTTGGGAAAAAAAGTTAATAAATTCTTAGCATAAAATCTCATGATTCTGAGCTGATTTGAAAACATAAACATTACGTCAAATAGGGTTAAAATTAAGTCATTGTGTGCCCTTTGATTAGGTTTGGATGTCATCGACAAAAACTGAATGAAAATCTCTTAATTCAAAATCTATTTTTGAAAACCTTTTATACGGGTTTTGAGTCCAAAATAAAGGATTACTTATGTGTAATGCTTTTTAAAAAGTCATTAAAATTCCCAAAACAATTCGCATTCAACTCACAGACATCATTGAATCCTATTATAAGATTCTCGGTATTCATGAATATTCTGTAACCAATTTTGTTTGAATAATACTTTATACTCGTTATTATTTTTTAAACTTCAATATTTAAATAACGAATTGAAAAAATATATTTGGTATTCTTTGACATTTAAAAACATTTTATATTGCATTGAATAGAAATATTCTTATACATGATATAACAACCCGGATATTGAGGGTTATAAATGTATTTTCAGTACATAAAGATTTATACACATGTTATTCAATTCAATACATAAGTTAGAAGAATATTCTCTACTTATGCTCTTATATACAATATAATACAGATATAAATATACTCTCTAAGGGACAAAACTGTGCTTTTAATACAAGTAATGTGTTTATTCGCTAAAATTTATTATACATTTATTGGTGAATTTAATATTTGCTTGTCTGGCGTGGGAGTCAGAAACGGATCGATATGTATCTGAACTCGTAGTTCATATTTCCAGACACTTTCGGGAAGTGTAGCCAAAATAAAAACACTTTACGAGAAAAGACAACAAAGGAAAAGTTAATGTGAATTATACTACGAAAGGAGGCATCGATTTGTTATTCACTTTACCGATGCATATATGAAAAGGTTTGTCACTTCAGTCAAAAGTCATTCAAACTCTTACTGAAATTCTTATTAAAATCATTTGCTTTTGGTTTAAGTAAATAAAAACATAATAACAGCCGCAATATGTTTAACACAATTATATTCATTTATAAACTCAATACCAATGGACAGTCATTTAATTTTTAAAAATAATTTTACCAATTGTCTAAATGCAGACTTGTTATTGTGTTTTATTATGACTTTTGTTGACATTTAAAATATTTATAAAAATTTACATTATTTTTTATATAATGACTCGTTTAACATTCGGAAATATCTCCAAGTATAACAAAATATTCAATATTTAAGAATAATATGGAATTTTTGAAAATAATAAATTTTTCTATGTTTTATAAACTACTTTCCTATAAAATAATGATTATTTATAGTGGATATCTTTTAAAATTTTGATGTAAAAACATTTGCGAATAAGAAATGTCAATGATAAGCTTTTAAATGTCAAATAAATGTACACCAAAATGATATAAAAATTTATTATTTATAACACATGAATGAAGATAAAACTTTTTGAGCATAACTTAATTTAAATAAAATTTAAAGTAAAATAATATAAATAGAAACATAAAACGTTATACTAAATCATAATTTCTGGAATTAAAATGTAATTTTAAAACACTATTTAATTATATAAGAATTATTAAATAATATTTTAAGATATTTAATTTTATACTCAATATTTTTTTGATAAGGATATCAAATTATTTTAGTAAACATCAAATTCATGATAATATAATTTACACGAGAATTTAATAAAGCTATTAAATATGCAAATTTAATACTCGTTTGGGTCATGAATTTCTCGATTCACATGACTATTACATAAGTGTTTGATTATATGAGACACTGTTTAACAAAACAATAGACAAATGTATTGGCATTTGAGACGGAATCGCATTCATAGCACTAATTCTGTGTCTCATTTGAACGAAAAGTTTTTTTCTGGAAATTTTCCATTCATTGCAGACAACGAATCACAACATCACTGGGAAGTCGTATCGATTTTCACTCGTATGCGCTCACCATCTACTATATGGCACTCCCGGTGCTCTCTCCTCCAGTTCCTCTCTATCTTCCTCCAACAACTCTCTCTCTCTCTCTCTCTCTCTCTCTCTCTCAGACTTATTACACAATACTGAGTATATTGAGCGCCGGATTTGGAAACCTATTTCCAGAAAGTGTTAGGCGTTAAGGGAAAGGTGTGTAGAGAAAGTTGGCAATTATGATGACTACAATACATACAGAATCGTAGCATTTACTCAACTAAATAGCTGCATAGAAAGGGGTGAAACTCATAATAGTTGTCAAAGAGGTGCCCATAAATCAACGAAGAGATTGAGATTTAAAATACCGAAAAGGAGTGGAATTCCGGCCGTAAAAAAGCGAGTGTTTAGAGAGAATGTGTTGAGCATTGAAATGGATTTACTCGTTATATGTTAGGTCTCAGTGTTTTTGGGGG